TTGGCAAGTTCTCTTCACCTTTCTAATCCCCTGTCCTGGAGGGTTGGAAAAATTGGATTTGGGTTTGTTTTTCCTAAGCCTCCTGGGACACTCTCCTGAGGGATGGTGTTTCCTACAAGCAAACTGTTGATTCATTCTGCATAAAATCCATTTCTCTAATCTCCTTATCTATCCCCAGCCCTAGCTCTGCTTTCACCTGTGTATCTTGGAAGAACCTTTTATCCCTGAATGTGATACATAGGGTGGCTGATGGAAGGGGTGCTCAATGGGAGATCAAACCTGCATTACGGAGCAGCTGCTGTCTGGACTCCACGTGGGGTTCACAGGTAAGAGCACACTTATCCTCAGGGCACCACAGCTTCATAAGTTCCCCACCCCTCAAAAGCTCCCCACCCTCTGCGCTTTTCTAGTAACCATGGCTAATATTCTCCATCAACCAAAAAACAGTTGAGATGGTACAGAACAGAGGATGAGCTTACAGATTCTGGAGTCAGATTACCTAGATTTTCATCACAGCTCAGCCACTTGCTAGCTGAGTCCCCTTGACAAATCCTCTAACCTCCCAGCATCTCCATTTCTTCATGCACAGAAAAAAACCATTAGGTTCTATAAAGGTTAATGTAAATACATGTGATGTGCCTGTAACAGTGCCTGGCACAGGATGAGAACGTATAGATCAACTCTGAGAGGCCTGCCATCATGCACAGAGTACCCAGGAGCACCCTTGCTCTGTTTCTCCCAGTGATCTCTTCTGAGGAGTGGGATTTAGGAAGGGAGGTTGAGGATTTGATTTGATTTGATTTGATTTAATGGAGAGGATTTTAATTTCTATTTCCTGCACCTCTGTATTGTTTGAATTTATTACTTTTTATTAAAAGCAAACCCGGAAAATAAATAAATAAAATGGCATCTGGTGAAGAGAATGTAAAACAATCTCTCCCACCCCCCCAACCCCCACCCCCAACTGAAATAGCTAAGAAGATACAGAGATTTAACAACAACAATCCTGAGGCCTCTGACTGGCTCAGTTAGGAGAGCACGCGCCTCTTGGGGTTGTAAACTAATCCCATCCAACCTTTTTTTTTTTTTTTTTAAGATTTTATTTATTTATTTGACAGACGGAGATCACAAGTAGGCAGAGAAGCAGGCAGAGAGAGAGAGGAGGAAGCAGGCTCTCTGCTCAGCAGAGAGCCCAATGCAGGGCTCGATCCCAGGGACTCTGGGATCATGACCTGAACCGAAGGCAGAGGCTTTAACCCACTGAGTCACCCAGGCGCCCCCCCATCCAAACTTTTAAAAGTAATGTTGCCAGGGCACCTGCCTGGCTCAGTTAGAGTAGCAGGTGACTCTAGATCTTGGGGTCCCGAGTATGAGCCCCAGGTTAGGTGTAGATATTACTTAAATAAATAAAACTTTACAAATAATAATAATAATAATAAAACTAATGTTGCTAATCCAAAGCTTGAAACTCATACAAATTTTCTGCACCTCCAAGACTAATAAAATCGAAGTGTGTGGGAAGGGTGGCATCAGTGTTTCATCTATGCGCCACTCCCCACAAATAGCTACTAAAAGCTTTTCTTTAGCCCATTAGCAAATAAAATTCAAGGTCAGTACCAACCAGGACAGAGAATAGCAGTCCCCTCTACTTCACAGTGAGCTTATTTGTTTGTTTTGAGATGAGCATCCAGTTGTGCCCACCCTTTCCCCATTAGTTTCTCTTTGTAGATTTAATTAAAACAAACAAACAAACAAACAAACAAACCAAAAAAAACACCAAAGAACAAAAAACTACAACTCCCAGAAGACCCCTGGGCAGGAGTAGGGGTGGGAGAGGGAAGGGTGGTAGGTGAAGGTGTGCCTGACCCTAAAGTGATGTCTCAGCTCCACTCACCCTGCTTTAACATCCTTCTCCTGGAAAAGCACCTGGCAGCTCAAGAAACCTCTTTGCGCTAGTCTTGAAGGATGTGCTCTAGCCAGCAGGAGTGAAGAAGTAGGGTTATAAAAGAGCAGGCGGACAGCAGTGCCGTGAAACTTCAGCAAGTGTGACAACCAACCCAACCCTGGATCTCCACAAGAATGATGACCTCAGCAACCACAGGCCAGTGGGCGGTCCCCATTAGGTACCAGGCAGACCACACAGGGGGCAGAGTCTCCTTCCACGACGGCATCTGAAGGAAGTTCAAAAGGAAAGGGTCACAAATGATCTGTTATTGCTCATTGGGGATATAAGAATATCCTTACACATAAGAACTCTGGCTCCCTCCTTACCAGTTTTAAAAGCTTAATTAAATGTAATTACTATGACATTCACTATGTCAAAAACAGGGAGCTAGAGCTATTGTCTTAAAAGAAATACATCTAGAATGGTGCAGTCACTTTGGAAAAGGGTCTGGCAGGTATTCAAAGGGTTAAATATAGATTTCTCCTAAGATCCAGCAATTCCACTCCCAAGCATATTACCAAGAGAATTAAAAATGTGTGTTTGTGCACAAATGGCACATTTGTGGCAGCATTATTCATGAGAGCCAAAAAAAGAAGCAATCCAAAGAGCCATCAGGTGAGACTAGATCAACAGAATGGGGTATATCCATACAATGCAATATTATTGTTCAGTTGTAAAAGGGAATGAAACACTGATATGTGCTACAGCCTGAATGGACCTTGAAAACGTTATGCTTAGTGAAAGAAACCAGACAAAAAGGGCACATACTCTATGGTTCTTTCATATGAAAAGTCCAGATTAGGCAAATCCAGGAAGAGAGAAAGTAGATTAGTGGTTGCAGAAGACAGGGGGAGAGAAGAATGGAAGCGATTGCTAGCAAATGTAGGGTTTCTTTTTGGGTGAGGAAAATGCTCTAGAATCAGATACTGGTGATGATTGTACTCCTATGAGAATATAAAAAAACCCACTACATTAGGCACTTTAGGTGGCTGATGGCATGTAAAAGATACCCCCAATGATACCCCTGCTATTAAAAAAGAAGGGGTCCCCAAATGCTAATACAATGGTTTTGGGATAGTACAGCTGAGTGCAATTTTTATTTTTATTTTTCTGGGGCTTTATTGTTTTTTGTTTGTCCAAAATTTCCCTCCTCTAATGGGCAGTTATTATTCTAACAACTGAAGCTCTGAAATCAGACACATACTGCTGGATTCAAATCCAAGCTTCTTCTGAATGAACTGGTTAATCTTGGGCAAGTTACTTAATTATTCTACACCTTAGGCTCTTTATGGAAAGTTGAGCAATAATATTACTTACCACAGGGTAGTTGTGAGAATTTAATAAGAAAGTGCTGTAAAGCGCTTAGATTGGAGCTTGGCATATAAGTAAGTGTTGAAGAAATATCAGCTGCCATTTTTTGTTTAACTTTTTTCTTTTTTTTAAGTAATCTCTGTATCCAACTTGGAGCTCAAACTCCCAACCCAGAAACCAAGAGTCTCATGCTCTACCTACTCACACAGCCAGGCACTCACCCACTCCCCCACAACCCCCTCACCCCCTGCGGCTAGTTCTGTTAAGAATACAAGACAGTAAAATAATACTACTAATTTTTATAAGTAGTACTTATACAGCACTGCTGTCGATGCATTTTAATGCATTTAGTCCTCACAACTACCTTAGGAAGTGGAGTACTCGTATGCTCATTTTACAGCTGAATATTAACAGTGGCATTTGCCAGCAACATCCAGTCTGTAATGTACAGGATATTTAGGGGTCTGTGAAGAGCACAGAGAGCTGAGGCAATCAAGGAGGACTCCATGAAGAGCATGGCCCTGGAAGGAAAATAACGGAGGCCCTGGATAATCCCTCATGGGTGGGAAAGGGTGGTGAGGGCCTTCCAGGTGGAATGGAAGTTACCCAACAAGTAGGTGGAAAATATTAACATTTGTTCAGGGTGAGTACAGATTATGTAATGAGTACAGATCATGTGTTTTATTATTTTCTGTACTTTTGTGCAACTGAGAAATAATTACAAATTAATAAAATTAAAAATATTTTAGTCACTGTGTTCTGAATAAAACATTTGCTTTCCCTGAGTCTTTGACTTATGTAGTATATATAACACATTAGCTGGTTAGAAGAACTAGTAAATCTTAATTCTCTTCATTTTTTCTAAAACAAACGTTAGTTTTTAAATTATATTTGCCTGTCACTATACCTTAGAGTTTCTTTTTTCCATATGGATCTGTCTTACTCCTTGTCACAATTGCTCATTGCACAGTAGGAACCGTCAATGATTTGTTTCTCCCTTCCCTACTGACCCCAATTTTCTATTACAAGCACTGTTTGTAAACATTTTACCCTTGTAAAAGTCTTTCCCAGGCACTACCTAGGGTAGATACTAGGAAGCAGAAATGCCATAAATCCAATTTTCAAAAAGTGAATCAAACGGGGGATGAATGCAAAAATCTCTGTACTTCCCAATCAATTTTGTTGTAAACCTAGAACTGTCATTTAAGAAAAAATATTTTTTTTAAGATTTTATTTATTTATTTGACAGAGCGAGAGATCACAAGTAGGCAGAGCAGGGAGCCCCATGTGGGACTCAATCCCAGGACCCTGGGATCATGACCTGAGCGGAAGACAGAGGCTTAACCCACTGAGCCACTCAGTCGCCCCAAGAAAAAATAATCTTAAAAAAAAAAGGTCAGAGACCGGCAAGCTGGCGAACTGGGAGTCCAGACGGTTTCTCACGTGGTCTGGGGTGGGGCGTGGGGCTCCCGTCAGCCTGCCGGGCCCGGGCCCAGGTGGCACCGGTGCAGCCTCCCCGCCCGGATTAGATGCAGTAGCGCAGTGACCTACTACCCCCAGGACACACGCTCCGCCCTGCCTCACTGTCCCTTTCATTGAAAAAAAAAAAAAAAAAAAAAAAAAATCCCTCGGCGATCACGTGAAAGCAGCGTGCCGGCCGCCTGACGTCACGCAGCGCAGGCCAATGGAAGCTTCTGTTTATGTCGGAGGTCACCGGAATATCAGAGCCCCCGCACGCAGCCTCGCCCAGCCGCCGCCGCGCAGCTCTCCCGCCCAGGTCGCGGGCGCCCAGCTGGAGCAGGAGGCGGCGCGGCTGCAGCGCCGCGGGAAGGGCCGCGCCGTTGCTTCACTGCAGCCGCGTCTCCGCTAGCCGGCCCCCCGCAGTCCTCGGGGCGCCGTGCGGCTCCAGACCGGGACCGAAGCTGCCGGCCGTCGCGGGTGGCCGGATCTGCGTCCCGCCTCAGCGCTCGGAGGACATGCGGAAGAGAGAATGACCCAGAGGGACACGCTTGTGCATCTGTTTGCCGGGGGGTACGGTCTAGACAGGGCGTGCAGGCTGGGGCCGAGGGTGCTGGGCTGAAGCCGAGGCCTGACGCGCAGGCCAGAGGAACGAGGGAGGGGGCTCCAGCCCGCTGGGCAGAGAGGGCGAAGCCCGGGCGGGGAGCGGGGAGGAGGCTTGAGCCGGGCGGGCTGAGGAGGCTGAGGCCCGGCGGAGCGGTGGAAGATGAGGGACGAAGCTGCGGCGGGACATCAGCCATGGGGTGCGCGGAGCCGCGGCAAGGCTGGGGCGGAAGCTGCAAGCCGGAGGAGCCGCGGGCGGGGCTGGGGGGGACCGAGCGGACTGGGGCCGCGCGTCGCGGCCTAGCGCGTGTCCTGGATGCGGGGCCGTGGGAAGGAACGTGGTGCAGGCCTCGCGGAGGTTTCTAGGCCTGGGGGACGGGGCGGAGGTGCGGAGGCCGAGGACAAAATGGGCGCCGGGACCGCCTCCTCCCTCCTGCCTTGCCGCGCGGGCTTCGAGGCCTCCTCACGTCGCTCACGCCCCACCTCGGACCTCGGGGAGCTGATTTCCCCGCCCGCGCTGCGCGGGTGGGCCCTGGGTTGGGGGGAGGGCGCCCGGCACCCGCGGGGAGATTTCACTGCTCACCACTGGAGCTGTAGGATCCTCGCCCTTGGAAAATTTTCTTTCCGAGCTTCTCCAGGTTGCAAGATGCGTACAAAGCGGCATTGCCTTTGGCGTCAGATTCTTTCTCGAAAACCAGTCCTCTTGTGCACCCTCTGCTCTTCGTCTCCTTAAAGGAGAAAGTCGGGGGTAGGGAGAGGTCAAATGCTTTGGCGATAGTTACTGTGTGTATGAGATTACGACTAAGCCTGAAGCCTCCCTGATTGCCAACCTAAATGCTACAGATACTTTGTTGAGCCAGTTGAGTCTCTTTTTTAGATTTGTTCCTTCCAAATTATTTTTAGGAATCCTAGCATTTTTAAGTGTAAGAGTTGCTTATCTGTAGGATCATAGTCATCAAAAAATGGCTGCGGTGAATTATGCTGAGGCTCTTTTATGTCTATATGACCATGTAAAGTCGCATCCCCTGAAAGCGTAGTTTGTTTTTCAGCCGGCCACTTTAAGATTTTATTGCCAGTGATGGTAATACTTTTCCTTGGGTTGTCACATTAAGTCAACAAACTTTTATTTGTACACTAGTCATAGGCCAGCCACTGGTCTGGAATAAAAAATACTTTCCTTTTAATCCGTGAGACAAAGTTTAGACGGAGTTTACTTTCCATATTTCTGACACTTTTGCCAGTAATCCATATTTCTGATACATTAACCAATAAAATTGGCAAATTAAATCTTTTAAAAAAAATTAGCCATGTAGATGTTCTTGTAAATATGTGTTGTTAGGCAAATTATCAGGCTTCTTCATGTAATTGAGGTAATGTATCTGAAAGGAGACTGCACATCTACTTATGGCCGCTATTTTAATTTGAGTGAAAAATGGACAAAACCTTTTATTTTAATTGGCTTCATTTGTAAATTGAGGAGGGTGTGCTATATGATCTCTAAGGCCGTTCCCAGGTCCTAACATTTCTATTACTCTGCATTCAAAATTCATATATCAAGTTTTTTTAAAAGTAGGGCATGTTAGCTTGATTGCACTAAGTTCCCTGTTTGGATTAAGATCAGCTGTCACTTTTTTGTTGCTAATGCATGTAAAGGACCTCCTGGTTAACTTTTTCTTTAAGAGCAGAAATGGAGTTTTTGCAGCATCTAAACACCAATAGATTTAGAAGCCTCTCCTCCCCCAAAGAACCTAGCATTTGCAGGTTATTTAGAGTATTAAATGAGGTGATCAGCCTTGTAAATTCCTTTGTATCTCTTGGTTTTATAGTTACATGTGGTTGCATAATTTGTTGCAATAAAACCTGGTTTATCTTTTTTTTACCCCCTGGTTTATCATTTTTAGAGAAATATTAGGACTAGGATGGTAAAGATCATCTGGTTCAGCCCCTTAAAAATAAGGAAAATTACTGAGGTGTATTGATTTACCCAAGGTCAAACAGCTTTCTGTACATGTAAAATGAGAGGTAAATAATCTCTACAGATCTTTCCAGCTCTATATTACATAACGCCAATATTGTAGAATATCCTGGAGGTCTGTATGGTAACCTTTTGGAAATGATGTTGGGTTGTGTCAGTTACATTGTTCTTAATTGAAGATGTTGAATTCTTTTGTATATGAAAGTTGCTTATTTAGGCAATCACTTCTGGTACATTCTTCAGAGAAAACTATATTTCATTTTTATCCTGTTAGACTTAGGTTAATTAGGAGTTAGGAAAGTTATTTTTACTTAAGCAATAATAAGTAGTTACAGAAGAGGAGAGAAATCTTTTTTATTAGCTGTTGTGACTGGGCTGCTTCACACACAGGTATCATTTAGATTAAGTTCTGAAAACTCAATATGTTTTAAAAAACTAAATAATGTTTTGCAGTGGCCATTTAATCTTAGGCAAAAATTGCCCAAGTATGGGGCCTTTGGATTGTTTCCCTGGTGGTTATAATTGTATTCAAGTATGTGTTTATCAGAATCTTGAAGATTTCCAATGGTCTAGTAGCTGTATTATTAAATCGGGAACATTTGCGACAGACCAGAGCTGGACCTTGGATGTGGGTGACATAGTCACATTCCTAACTTATGCTTTCTTTAAGACACCCTTTGGTTCCATTATATTTTTTGCCAGGGTTAATATTCAGAGTTTGTAAGGTCATTGGTTAGGTCAGTTGTGTTATGGAAGCAACTCCTCTAACAACCTGCCAAAAGGATGTAAGTAAGATTTAATTTAAGCTGTATTTTTAATGACTATTTGTATATTAAACTCTTTAATAGAACTATATATTATGTACACTTGGGTCAGCTATCCACTAAGAGATAGTTTGCTTTTTTTTTTTCCTAGGAAGAGATGTCTCAGATAGAAGGAATAAACCTTAGAAACTGTCCTTTCTAGGTTTTTGATGTTATAGAATAATGAATTTGTATGCTCTTCAGCTATCAAACTTGACTATTCTTTCCTTGGAATTCTTTGCCAATCAAAGCACTTAAAGAAAATGAGCAAGCACTTTAAAAAAAAAAAAGAAAAGAAAAAGAAAAGAAAAAATGAGCAAGCAACTTTGCATTGGAACTTTTTTTTTTTAACAATCAAGTTACAACTTAGTACTTTATTATTAGTAGCAAATTACATTTGTGATAACTTAAAACAGCTGATCTTAACTCATTGGCCACATCATGGACAGAGGGACTCGGGAGCATTTTACAAGGCAAAAAGGAAGTGATGGCCTGCTTAAGGCACTTGGAGTGGGGATGGTGAGGGTAAATGTGAGAGGAAGTTTAGAATGTAGAACCAGAGAGACTTGAGGATAATTGGATGTTAGAAAGCCTCTATATGCCTTTGTCACCCTTGTTAGCCTTCAGTACCTCATACTAAGGTAATCATAGGAGCTTCTTCACATGGCCTTTTTTAATTGTATATATTTAAGGTATACAGCATGATGATTTGATGATACGTATGCATAGTGAAAAGATTATGACATAAAACATCTGGTGTAGTTACCATTTTTTGTGAGCACACCTGAAATCTACTCTTAGCAGATTTCCAGTATTCAGTACAGTAGTATTAATTTTAGTCATTATGCTGTACATTAGAACTTTAGACTTATTCATCCTACATAACTGCAGATTTGTACTAATACCTTAACATTCCCCCACCTTCTTGCCCCTGCTGACTACCCTGTATGCTTCTGTCTTATTTGACTTTAGATTTTATGTAATATTGAGATCATGCCATTTTTTTCTTTCTGTGTCTGGCTTATTTCACTTAGCATAATGTCTTCTATGTTCATTTGTGTTGTTGTGAATGACAGGGTCTTCCACGTGGCCTTCTTGATCCTGGATGCTTCCTGGCCCCACTACATTCTACATTTCTATCTTGATAGTTTTTGGTTTTTTGGTTGTTGTTGTTTTAAGATTTTGTATTTTAAAAGAGAACTTGAGCACAAGCAGGCAGGGAGAAGGAGAAGCAGACTCCCTGCTTTGCGGAAGCCTGATCCACTGGATCCCAGGACCCTGGCATCAGGACCTGAGCCACCCAGGAGCCCTATCTTGCTAATATTTTAAAGCATTATATTGGCTGTGCAAATCAGTGTTCATGTAGAGTTTGCTTATTGTAAATAGTAAAACAATTTAAATCTGTATTCATTGTTAAGAAACTTTGTGGGAGAATAGAATAAAACTAAAATAATTTTAAATATTATGGTTTTTATATAGAATGTTTAAGAAATAATTTCTAGTCTTTTGTTTTATGACTTGCTTAATAAAATAATTGTGCTGTCCAAAATCTTGTAGATTAATAAATGAGGCACACAGTATATATTTAATATATTTTAGTTGTACTCCTATCCCTTTAGTTTTGAAGCTGAGAATGCATTGTACCTAGCCTCCACCTGTTACATAGTATGCTGCTTTAATCTTGCACTAAATTGACCAGTAGGTAGAAGTTATCTCTACTCACAAGCTATTTAAGATGTGTAATAATAACTGTACGGAAGAGGGGTGCCTGGGTGGCTTAGTTGTTTAAGTGTCTGACTTCTGATTTGACACTCAGGTTAGGATCTCAGGGTCATGAGCTAAAGTGTGTGTCAGGCCCAGCGCTTGACCTGGAGCCTGTTCAGGATTTTCTTTCTCCCTGTCTGTCCCATTCTTCCTCTCATCCCTACCCCCCCCCCCCCAAAAAAAACCCAGAAGAACACATTTTTCCCTTTATATCCTTCCTGGCTAAATTGCATCTAATTTTAGCATAGAACAGCATGCTTCAAATTGTATAGGAACCTATTAATGGATTATAAAATCAATTTGTTTGGTTTGTGACCAACCTTCTAAAAATAGTAAGTATTCTGTGAAATGTTTGTGCATGTGGATATACTGTGTCTTCATGTAAAATAGTTCTTGTGGAATTGAATTCAGAGATTTGAAAGGGAAAG